GTCGTCCATTCGCGAAATATTATTCTTGCGATTTGACGTTAAAGAGCCAGTTCGCGAAAAAAAGTACTCGCGAAAAATAAGGAATCTACAGTAATAAAACTGAGGAAGCTCTAAGATAGACGGCTTTGGGTTCGGGAAATAGCGATACTATTTATTTGGTTCAGTGTTAGATTCCCCAGTGTCTATCATAATGGCCTCTGCAGAATTTAATAAAATATCTAACAAAAAGAACTAATTATAATTATTAATTATTTATTTACATCATGTTAATCTTAATACTGAAGTACGTCTGAGATACATAGTTTAACATGGTGTTTCCTGGAAAGAGAGATACAGATAAAATAAGCCAACAAAACACTGCGCAATTCACACAGCATCCTTTCTAGTGTAACAACAAACCGCAGGCGTGTTACAATTTTAAAGCATGGTATTTTTTGGGGGGAGGGGGTGTTCAAGGTCACTAGAAATATCAGAAAACATTAATAAATGAAATATTAATATATATGTCCGAGATTGTGCCTTCAAAAATGTATGAAATGCAATACTGAGAAACTCATTCATGGTTATAACGTTATTCAGTATTGTGTACTTGTAAATGTTTTAAAATATTATATTTTAATTTCATAAAGCATAGGTATTTTAAATGTGAAGTGTTTTGAATAACGCATTTTTGATTTTTTTTACTTTGAATAAATATCCGATTGTTTTTTTTCCCATCAACTTTTCGACATTTAAGATAATTAGGCTCTGTAAACTTCCTATTCCCCATTTTAAAAACGTGAGTTATTCCTCTCAAAATCGGAACTCTTCTACACCTGCATAACTTCAGCGGACTACGCATTTTGATATTCCCACAAAATAGTGATCAACTTATACGCTGCATTTAAAAATTTCAAAAGAAGGAAACAGTTTGCCATTTTTGTTTTTAGATAATTTGCGATTTTTTAAAGGGTCTGTTATCCCCCCATTTCTAGAAAGGCGATACGAATTTTAAAAGGGGGGGGGGCAGCCAGAGAATTTTTTTTTACTTACCTTGAAAAGTTTACAAGCAAAAAAAACCTTGTCCGGAGTCGAAAAAGCTACTTATTTCAGTACCAATTCCTTGACACACAATACTACATTTCCCTTATATAACTTAACCGTAGTATAAACGGGAGGGGGGGGGCAACCTTTCAATGAACATTTTCAATAGTAAAATGTTGGGGAAAAAAGTGGGGATGAGGCTAACACCCCCCCCCCTCCATTGTTGCTACTTTCCTGATAGCTGGTAAACAACTGGCAAACAAAAATTTGCAATTCTATGTTACGTTATTGTAAATTTTTCTTAAAACCTTATTATTTACGGGATACATTCTATTAGTGTCCATAAAAGGTTAATTTATAAAATACATGTAAGTTTGTAATAGGCGTTGTGGTCAAACTAGGAGGATACATTTCAGTTGAGTACGTTACACACTTTAACTCAGAACTGACCATAAGAATGTTTCAAATAACCTTTCACGCTAATTTGATTGACAGGTGATGCACAGGGTTTCGTGCTTACAGCATGTACAGAGAACGAATGTGTAAATGAGTTGAATATGAACCAAAGTTGTAGAAATTAAAAATCATTAGAATTATTAGTTGTGAATTCAATATAATTACGGCTAAGATTTTTTTCACAGATGTACAAGTATGTCAAATACACAGGGTTTCTCTCTCTCTCTATCTCTCTCTCTCTCTCTCTCTCTCTGATATTGTTTTTACACACTTTGCAAAAAAAAAAAAAAAAAAACATAAAAATAAATACTTACACTGAAAGAACTTTAAAAACATAAACAATATATTTTACGAAAAGAATGTTTTCCGTATTAACGAGAAATATGTTCGGATATTAATGTATCAATTTCGTGTTTCTGCTGTCAATTCTCTGATCTAAAACAAAATAAATTTATTTTACTCAGGAATATACATATGCTTAGATCCTACATACACTAAAACTTCGATTAAATGCAGCTCAGATTTTATGAGACATATGTAACACGAATGCAGGTCGATGCTATGTTAAGTAGTCTTTCTTCCTTACATGAGCACATGTGATTAAATTATCATTTAGAATTCCATTTAAAGTTTTAATACTATAAAGTGAATCAATTATTTTACAAATATAAATTTCTAGAAACACTGTTAATTCAAATGAATTAGGCCTTTAGTTGTAACCAAATGTGTTCCTGTGCAAATACTTGATATTGGTCGCGGAAGACGACCTACTGAAGTAAATGTAGCAATTTCAGAGGTAAAACTGTTGATGGACATGTCATGTCTTCAAAAAATCCAAAGAGATGCAGAGAAATAATATGGCTGCAGCTGGCCAGATTAATTCATAAAAACGTATAACAATACAAAAAATTCTTATATTTGTTCTTCACATTTTGTAAATAATGACGATCCATCTGAAAGAATATCCTCTACCAAAAATGAAATTTTAGCTTTTTTTAATTGGGTCTATTCGAATGTGTTACAGCATTTTTAAGTAATCTGTTTCGTTTTGTTTTTTTTTTTTTTTTTTTCAAAAACGTATACAGATACAGAATATCAGAAAAAAAGTATCTTTCTCTTTTTTCAACAGCTTAATAATATTTCAATACAGAGAAGTATTATGATGATGATACACGTGATTTGTGTCCAGTTTTAAAAAAGAACGTGAATACACTTACCTAAGGTTCCAGTGGCAGCTCCTGTAAGAAGGAGTTGATATTTTCCTGCTTCGTCGGAGACAAAGAATCCGTCGTACATTTCATACAGAGTTGTACCATTCTGGAGAGTGATGGACACATACAGGGATGATGAGTTTTCTTTTGTTAATTGATGGATTACGTCATTTCCTGTATTTGAATATATTTGAAAACATCTGAAAAGTCCATTGCAATATAATTTATTCTGCTAAAAATATGAGTCTACCGTTATAAAAAATCAAATTATATTCATTAGCTATAAGCCATAATGCTAAAATTGGTCTGATAAAAATATTCCGATTAATGATTTTTTTCTATTCTTTTTTCTCTTCATTTGGTATATCAATCTAACACGATATGTAAATATAGTAGAACACATATTACCTAGTCTTAAATTCAGATCTTTATTACGCTTTATATTTTTTTACTTGCCACAAGAATTCTTTATCTTTAAACTTTGCAGGAATAAAAATTTACTAGTTGAAAGCGATTTACACTTACCAACCCAGACGTTCTGTTCTGGTGAACCAAAGCCATTTTTATAATCCGCCCAGTTCCTGTCAAAGATTATGGATCCGTCTACGCGTTTCTGAATGGCCTTTAAAAATTAGCATTCGTAACAATTCAATTTATTGCTTTAAATAATCATTAATTATTTTATAAACTCAAGATATTCATATTAATTTTTTTATCTTACAATCTTAAGATAACAAAACAATAGTTATATTCTGTACCTTTCATCTTGAAATAAATTACATACCGTCCATCCCCCGCCCATTGTCGTCATATCGCAGTATACACTTATTGGAATTGTTAGTGTACAGTAGGGGTATATATCATACACCCCTGTAGTAGTTTGGCCTTCTTCACAAAGATCTTTACAATCTTTAGGCATGGCAGAAAAAACACAATCTAAAAAAGTACCGGGATCATATCATGTATATGTACAAGAAGTGAGAGGATATATAATGCCTGCATGATATAGAAATGTTAATTACTGAAGCAAAAATGGTAACTACAAGTACAATGCAGATCAGGTTAAGCTGTTCCTCATTATCTTAAATCATTTTTTTCTTGTTTTCTAATTGCTACAAATCTCTGATTTATGACAGAATTAAATGTATTTAAAATAATATACAACTATTTTCAATACCCCGTGGATTGAAAGAAATGTTAAAGAGGAATGCACTTGTAGATCAGATGATAAACGATTTGGACCATAAAATAGATGTTGAAAAATCTAGTAAAATCATGATATCTACTTTTCTGTATGATATAATGTATGTAAAATTTAACTTCTCGTAAATTCTAAGGTCGATACAATGAGCATGTTTTCGAACATAGTCTATCCTATCAAATCCTAAAACTTTCCATTTTCCGGATCAGGACAGGGGACACACGGTGGATCTGACCGATCGACAGATGATGTTTACTCCTCCAAGGCACAGGATTCACATCTCAGCTTTCAGGAAAGCTGTTTTTAAGATAGCAATTTCGAGAAACTAGCTTAAGGTGAGTTTTTTTCGTTGATTTTTTAGTAAATTACAAGCTATAATTCTCTAATGGTTTAGAATGATCCTTATCACAAAGCTTAAATGAATATTATTAGTAACTATTTTGAAAATACACTTATACCACTTAAAAAGAAATGTCAAAAGAATAAATCGTGTCTTTTCGAGAGGAACCTTAAAAAACAAAGAAGCAAATAGAAAGAAAAAATAACATGTATACATACCGTTATCCTAGTAGTATGTCCATCCGGCCTCATCAGACAGCCAAGATGTTAGACTTTTCTTGTGGGTACGACATTTCTTCGTTTGCGAGTTAAAACCAAAGAAGACGCACTCCCTTTGACACATCGCAGCGCACTCGGTCAAAGAATGAGAATTCTGTTCTCCCAAAATCTCGTAGTTTGATATTTTATAATTCAACTCAAGTTATGCAGTATATTTCTGAGAAATAATCGTCGCTTTAGATAAAGCTAAGAAGCCAACAATTAAGGATATGACACACTGACTGCTCATTTTTTCTTTACTTTTTTAAGATAAAAAATTCTGCGTTCTTGTGAACCTGTGAAATTCTGCTAAATGGTCTTTCAACAGCCAAATATATATATCGTACTTTAATCAATGAATGAAAAGCGATTGGCTAACTGTGAATTTCTCTATATTTTACTCTTGTTTAAGTATCGATTTTTTGAAGTTAATATGAATTGTCATTTTTTTTTTTTCTGAAATTGCGATTTGAAATATTACAATGAAAAGTGTTCTGTTTTTTTTACACTAGTTAATGTCTGTTTTGTTGTACAGTGGTTTTTATTATCATTAGCTATCTTTAAATATGGAAAATCAGTATATATTTTCTTGAATCAAATTAAGAATTCAGCAATTCCGAAATAAATTAAAAGAAACAATTATCTGACTCTTAGTCATTATTAAGAATTTATTGATTTATTTCAACTTATGATACATTAGCCTCTAAATGTTAATGTAACACAATATATCATCAATGGTTTACTCAATTTTGAATTTCTTTCTTCTGACAGTACCGAGAGATTTTTCGAAGGACGACGACTTGTTAAATACAATGACAAGAGAACTCTTTCAGGATCATACTTGGCGTGTTACATGTAAAATAATACCTTGTTTTTTTAACATAAGACCCAAAATGGTGAATAGCTAAGATTGCTATGAATCTCACTAACAGTATTTTATCTTTAAAAATCTGACGCAATATTCTTTGAGTTTGTATAAATACGAGGGCCGTTCAAAAAGTATGCGGACTCTGCTATTATTTATTCTTACATACGTCATATAATTATGAAATTTCACAGAAATATGAATCTTTAAGATTCCCATTATTTTTTACCAAAATATCTGTATTTTTAAAATTTTCTCCAAAAATTATCGGTATGTTGATATCGCGGATGGAGAGTTTCGGAGCACGACAAAATATTTTAAAAACACAAACATGCAGAATCCAAAATTCAACTCAATAACTTTCTATAATTCGCGATATTTTTCAGCCGTTTTCTCAAATGTATCTTTATTTTATTCTATCACTATGTATTTACATTTCTGACGTGATATTTAAAGTACTAAAAAAATTTTTTTTCTCTGATGCGATTCCTGTGAAAAATACTGTGAAATGAAGCTTCTCGAATTTACGGAGCACCACAGTTTTGTTAAATTATGAGTAATGCTCGAGATATCGTCAACGTAGATCCAAAATATACAGAATAAAGCATGTAGTAAACTAGGCTATTCGTGACATTTGTCTATAGATAGTATATTGGAATTTTAGACCGTTAGACCTCTACAAAAAGACTATACGGGAGGACGGGAAGAAGATAATCGACGAAACCCTGATCCAAAAAACAAAGAAAAGAATATGCTATACTTGTTTTATAGATTTTAAACTTGATAAGAAATGCTGTATGGATGTATAGCAGATAGAGTAACTCAAACTGTACAGAAACTCTTGGGAAAATGTTGAGAACATGAACTTGAATCTCATATTTTTTTATTATGTCCGTGACTTAATGATATGTCCTGATTAATCAATCAAAATCGATATCAATTTACAACATTTTTATATGAAATTTTAAAGACCATATAAGCAAAGATTTTTTTTATATTATATGTGACATTTTGCCCGATTATGTCGTCAAATATTTTTTTCTGTGCAACAAGTCCGCGTATTTTTAAACGATAATGTAAAGTAATGCTTAAACTGCACATAGAAACAGACATACTTTGAACAAATTACAAGACATATTAGGTTCATGGAATCATGATGTCATGAGAACTAGCATATCACAAAAAATAGGGAGGATTACATATTCCCATTCTACGGTCAATCCTGCCGTGAGCTCCTTGTCATGATCGAGCGAACCGAAAAAAAACAGACGATTCAAAGTGAGAAAATGACCCATCAATTTGTATAAAAATGCCAGTTAACATAGGAATTAAGCATGAACTCATTTTCTTGACAAGGTTATCGTATCAATAACAAAATCTATAAAATCTTCACTTAAAGCGAACTATTGAACTCATTGATTTAACAACATATTTCCACTACCTAACCCTAACCCAAACTCTTAAGAGCAGGACTCTTGGCAGTGGATCTTAAGTAAAAATAAAGTCTGGTGTAATTTTGTGGAAATAGATAACGAATATAAAGATTTAACGTTATGGTACTGTCATCATAAATTCAATGAAACATATGAAGATAACGGACAGTATTCAAGACCAAGTCTATAAAACAATACAAAATAGGAGCATGGCAATCACGAACCTCTGAAACATCAGAAGTGGGATCAGGTGCCATGGAGGAGTGAGCATCCCCTGCCGACCGATCACACCCGCCGTGTGACCCCTGTCATGACCAGGAAATAACGGAAAAATCCGTCGTCAATTCAGTGTATAAATAATGGACTAACAAAAAATATGAAAAGTATTAGTCAGCAAATTGAGTATCAAAAAAAAGACCCTAATCAATCAGAGAAATGTCAGTTGGCACTCCACTTAATGCTAGATTTTCTAAAATTTGTATGAATTTGAATACCCAGTGTTAATATTTCATTTTTCTATTTTAATGTATCATATATGTGTTTTAAACAATGTGCTTTGTTAATGTGATCTTTTTTCAGACAAAATGATTTGCTTTGCTCCTATTTCTTACAGTTTTCATGACTTTTGAGCTTGAATACTAGTACTTTTCGTTATGTCCATGTAATGCATTTAAGACATTCTCGTTTCTGCTTGTGCTCTGAGTTTTGTGATTATTTCCTTAAGCTGAATATTTGTCTTATCAAACAGAATAAAGAAAACAATCGTCTTTGTCATCTTTTGATATTTTTATGAAATTAACAAAACAAAGAATTATTTGAAGATTGTCTTATCCAACAGAATACAGAGAACAATCATCTTCGTCATCTTTTGATAATTTTTATGAAATTAACACTACAAAGAAGTATTTGAAGATACCCTTCAGTGAAATAGGTAAAAGGAATGGACAAATGACGTGTTCTCCTTTCATAAAAATACAATTATGTAGATTGCAAGCAAATTTAGCATTCGTTCTGATGTCAAATTGCTATAACTCAAGACCGTATGTCAATTTTCAGGTTCGGTCTTTTCTTTTGTTATTTTTTTTTTTTGAAATCGGAGCTTGTCTATATTCCTTTCTTTAATATCATTTAAATTACAACATTGCTTCTAATTAAGTATTTTTAAGAACTTCATGAATAAATTCCATTTAATTAAATATATATTTTTAGATTTCCGAGTAGAAAGTGAAATATTTTAAAAACGAAAAACAGGAAAGCTCAAAATGACTAGTCGATATAAAAATGTGCCAGAATTTAAATCAAAATATTGCAATTGATTTACAATAGCTTTATGACGTACATTGTATGCATGTAGGACGTACATATATTTATTTACTGATGTTCACTAAATCATGAACGTATCTTCTGTTGATAATTTTCTTACCCACCCACCCCACTCCCTCCCAAGATAAAAAGGACTAGTAAGAAAAATTCAATGTACATACGATAGTTTATGAAGCATATTACCCTATTGCACGGCACATTTCTCTCTCTTTTTAAAAAAAAGGTTGTACCTGTGCTTTGCTCAGACAATATTGTTGCCTCATTTCCTGTATTACAATACATTTAAAATCAGCTGAAAGGTGCATTGAATAAAATTAATTCTATTAAAATATAAATGTACCGTAATGAAAAATCAAACGATTTTCCCAAAAAGTAAACACTGATTCTAATACGGTCTTATCACAATTTCACCGCTT